AATAGATCTAATCTGAATGTTTCTCATGCTCAAAGAAAAATAGCCAGAGAATGATCTCTGCAAACAATATTTAGGTTTTTTTTTCTTTTAAATTGAAAGCAAAGGCTGCACACAGAAACACCTGGGTTAGGCTTAGAGTAGTCTGGCACTGCTTTTATAATGGCTTTGAAAATGAGCTCTGAAAAATATAATGGTTTGCAAAAGTGGCACAATAAAAATAAAATGTGATGAAAATATTTATGAAATAGAATGTTCCAATTAAATGATATGTTTCAGTTCAATCATATTTAAGCAGAAAATTAAAAAAAAAATTTTTTTTTTCAACGTTTATTTATTTTTGGGACAGAGAGAGACAGAGCATGAACGGGGGAGGGGCAGAGAGAGAGGGAGACACAGAATCGGAAACAGGCTCCAGGCTCTGAGCCATCAGCCCAGAGCCTGACGCGGGGCTCGAACTCCCGGACCGCGAGATCGTGACCTGGCTGAAGTCGGACGCTTAACCGACTGCGCCACCCAGGCGCCCCTAAGCAGAAAATTTTTATTACCACTCTTCATTGAAAAGCTTACAAAAGTTATCAGTCCGTCCCCCTCCTTCAGTAACTGGGATAGCATGATTACAATGATAGTGTGTTTGACAGGAGCCACAAATTCAAACATTTGAGGGGCCAGGTACAAAGGCAAAACCAATGAAGCAAATGAAGCATAGCTTATCCAAGCATAGCCCAATATCTAACCTTTAGTAATGTCCTCCAAATGGCTTTTACTAAGCAGCATTTTCTTGAAAGCTATCTTTTATTAAGTCCTATGGTACTTGTCACATTACGTTATATAACATCACCCAACATCATAGTGAGATATATATTGCTAGTGCCTCCATTTTATAAATAAGAAAATGGGGGCACTATAGGGATCAGGAATTAGTCTGTGGTCACACAGCCTTATATATAGTAGTGCCTACAGTAAATGCCATGAAGTGTCACATCAGGACATGAGTTCCTATTCACCATTAATCTGGATTTAATAATTACAGAATGGTGAGTAAAAGCCTTTATACATATTAACTCACGTAATCCCCACTGTAACTATGAAGGGGAGGTACTAATATTTATACCTGTTTCATAGATATGGAAACTGGATCACAGAAAAGTTACAACAGTTATCCAGCATCACATAGCTAGTAAAAGCAGAACCAGGAATTAAAGCCCAGGTGGTCTGTTTCCAGAGCCCCTGCTCTTGGTACGGTTCTCAACTGGAGTGATTTTGCCCTCCAGAGGACATGTCAATCTCCAGAGACATTTTGGTTGTTACAAACAACTGGGGAAGGCAGGAGATACTGACATCTAGTAGGTAGAGGCCAGGGATGTGGTTAAATACCCACAGTACACAGGACATCAGTACACCCACAACACAGAATACATAGCCCAAAATGTCAATAGAGCCACTGATAAGAAACCCTGGTCTATGTGATTACTACTGTGCAACTATGCAAATGGAAAACAGGCTATTGCCAGAGATGGAGATTGACAACACATAATTTAAAGTCTTTATCTCTAAATAAATTTCTGCTATCAGAGTACTTTCATTTTATCTCTTTCTTCTAAAACGTGAACTGTAAAAATATAATCCAGATAATTGCGTACTTTATTTAACAAGACATTGGTCTTTTTTCATCTTATGATGATATTCACTACTGTAAATTCTCTATTAGCTTATAAAAATTTTTACCATCAAGTTCAGTTTTATGAAAAGAATCTTAAACACGTCTCTTTTTCGTCACTATTTATGCACATTATTAAAATTCTCCCATACACTTCTACACAACTATCTCTTTAACTGGAATTGCTCCCAATGAATCTTTCTTACCTCCTCTTTCCTTCTGACATTTATAAGTTATTTCCCACAAGTCACAGTGAAGGTGTTGGTGAAGAAGAAAAATGTGAAAGGAATCCTTTTGCCCTTAATTACTTAGCAGCTGTCTTGGCACATTGCTTTCCCTTTTCCCTTTTGCCCCTGAAATGCCTGTTATCTCTATTAATTATTTTCAGAGTTTAGAGAAACAATATGTAATGGGTTGGACAGAGGGGGAGTTAGAGATGAGGAGCACTGACGTCACCAGAATTGGACAGCTGGCTGAGAGGGAGTGTTCTGCTAGTGAAATACAAGACAGAAAAGATAAAATATTTAAAAGATAATATGCTGCATGGAGGAAAGGGGAAGGGGCTTCAAAAACGGCCATTAATCCACAGCTCTCCTGTCAACAGTGGTTTATTTAAACATCTGTTAAACATTTGTAATTTTAACAAATCTACCTCAAAGTAGCTGGAATTTTCTTTTAAAACAGATTTCTTTGTAGGGTTCAAAAAAATGTGTCTTTTAAACTTAAAATCCAACTGACCTCTTAATAAGCTTCTGACCAAACTAGAACCTTCTAGATTTAAATTTTGTGTACTTTTGGTCAATGTGACTTCCCGTTTTTGAAAAGGGAAAAAAGATTAAGAAGGCTCCAAAAGCTGCTTACATTTGGAACTGTTCTTTAAATATTGATTTTATGTGAGTTAAGTATAAACTGGTTAAAAACATATGGATTAAATTATCCTTAAAATATGAATGGTTTTAAAAATTATGGGGGAATGCTTGGCAAACTGTGATTACTTTTTGTCAAAGTGAAACTATTTCAAAAGTAGTTGTTACCATTAAAAAAAATATTCCCAATACAAACAGATTTGTTGTTCCTTCCTGGACTTGTTCTCTTTAATTCACTAGCATTATGGAAATTGTCAGAAATGTATTTTAAGAGTATACATAGTATCAACAAGGCATAAGAATTTATCTAGCAGAACTTGTATTTTGGGAATTGTTTTTCTATTAGTTTACAATTATATTCTTAAGAATTGCTCTGGGAAGAATTTTTTCTGATGCAAATCCATGTGGTAATACTTCTTAAACCTCTTCATAAATTAGTTTCATATCACATTTAAATGAAGTTCATGTGAATTTGACTTGTTTTTTTACCACAATAATAAGTTATATAGAAATGAGATGTATTTGTTATGGTTATTATCTTAGTCCATTCTGTCTGCTGTAACAAAACACCATAAACTGGGTGACTTGTAAACAATAAAAATTTATTCCTCACAGTTCTAGAGGTTGGGATCTAAGATCAAGGCACTGGCAGATTCTGGGATCTGGTGAGAGACCCTTTCCTAGTTCATACATGACACCTTCTAGCTGTAATGTTTTCACCACCTCACATGGTGGAAGGGTCTCCACTGACCCTCTTTTTCTTTTTTTTTAAAGTTTATTTATTTTGAGAGAGACGACACATGTGTGAGCTGGGGAGGTGTAGAGGGGAACAAAGAGAATCCTAAGCGAGTGCCATGCTCTATCTCACAACCATGAGATCATGACCTGAGCCAAAATCAAGAGTCAGATGCCCAAAAGACTGAGTCCCCCAGGCATCCTATGGCCCTCTTTTATAATAGCACTAATCCCATTCATGAGGACTCCACCACCTTCATGATCCAATCATCTCCCAAAGGCCCACTTCTTAACACTATCACGTTAGGGGTTAGGATTTCAATGTATGAATTTGGAGAGGAGGACACAAATATTCAGATCATAGCATGTTAGTGATAGTATTTTTAACAACAAGGCTGTTATCTTATATCTATGTATGTAAGTTTAATATGTGGGTATCAGCTTAGGCTATAAGAGAAACTAGTCAAATTAATTCTTTTACTAAGTTCACATAGTTTGCCAAAACACAGAAATGATAACCAAGATGGTTTAGCAAAATCTCCTCTTAAAGAAAACACAATTAGCATTGGAAGGTGAAAGGAGGAGTAAAAACTACAGAGGAATTTGAACTTGAATCACATGATATGTATTAGGTTCAGCCACATGATCCTTAGTTGCAACTTAGCTAATGCAACTAAGTACCAACGAACAGGTGAGGACCACTGCAGGTGAAGTTTGACATCATCCCTCTGAGAACTGTCTAGTTATGAAGTTGTTATTTGAGATCATCACTTTAATTTCTGGAAGACCATTTATATAAAGAAAAAATAAAGTACTATGTCTAACTATATAACTTTAGATACCATTCGATAGTTGGCAGATTTCTCATATTTACTAAATTGTATACCCTTTCTCCTACTCTTCCCCAGCTTTCTCACTAACACAAGAATAAGTATAGCTCAGCACAAGTTTTATTTATCAAAGTAAAACAGATTTATCATATATCACATGACGAAAAGGTTAAGTGTACTGATAAGCTGAGAGATCTGAATACCTCTTGTACGAGCTGCTGGAAATAAAAATCGTAACTGCTATTAGTTTTGAGTACCTATCATATATAAGAAGCTGAACTAAGTAGATCACATGCAATTGGTATCTTTTTAATCCTGCTTGCAATCATGGAAGGCAGAAACCACTGACATGTTACAGAGGATGGACCTGAGATAGAATTTTTACGATAAAGTGACAACCTGGGATTTGAGTGCAAGGTTTTCTGCTTTTGTACTATATCATGTTATATATCAATTATACATGTATTTATGTTTATACATGCATATATTTGTATTTCAGCACTTGTTACTAAATTTCAGAATGTGACTGTCACTAATGTGTCTCTATTTCTGAATAGTACATTATCTTTTAGTGATAACACTGTGAGACCAAAGTTAATCTAAAGAGGTGCTGAACACACTTTGCATAATGTTGATTTAACCTTCTTCATTTTTCTGACTTACAGGTTTATATAGGGCTTTTATCTAGAAAATATCCTTAACATGTTGATATTGATCTTATTTTTTTAAATTTAAACGTCTCTAATAAAATCTTAATCCTTCCCAACACAATATATTTTTATGTCAGTCCTATTATGGAATTTCCATAATAGGAAAACCTATTATGAGGTTTTCCTCATAATAGATGTTTGGGTATGTATGGGATTGAGCTAATAAATTTCAATCCCTTCTTTTTTTCATTATCTTTTTCAGGAACATCCCTCACTAGGCCAACTCTCTGAGAAGTTAATAGACAACAACATTAATGTCATCTTTGCCGTTCAAGGAAAACAGTTTCATTGGTATAAGGTGCGTGAATTCCAAAATATAAAAACTAAAATGTTTGCATTGGTAGTTAGAATACTTCTTCGGTCCCCAGGTAAGGAGTCTGGAGTTATTATACTTTTTACTATCTGAATTTTATAAAGTAGTAGCTAATGTACACTACACAGTGTCGTAAGTAAACATTTATGTATAAATTCTTTGTTTATAACACTTAGAACCAAGTGTGGGCACTGATACTTAGTGTGGTACTGTGACATTAATGGAGAAGACTTTTATCAGGTAAAAAGTGGTTCACATTCCAACTGCACCTTTCATGTATGGATTCCTGCTTCTATTCAATCTCTGGGCATATTCTTATAATAGATTAGGTTGGGGAACATCAGCTTAGCTTTCACTGGTAACAACATACCTAGATTTGGTCTAGGCCTCCAACAAAGGAACAAGAGGAGTCACTGAAGTGGCTGATCCAGTTAGAGGTTTCCTATGGAAGAAGAATCTTGGTTTTGTCCACAATCCTTCAGGCCAGATGAGACCCGCAAACAGAACAGATGTTTGACAAAACCATGTCACTCTGGCAGCATTGTGGGACCCACCCCCAACAAAAAATTGCTTCTGTGACCCTACTGTCATATTCTTTTCACAGTCTTTTAGGTTCTTTTTTCCAGAAAACCCTCTTTTCTTCATTTTCATGATGTGACTCCTTGATTTTCATTGCACGTGTGTCTGTTCACTGGATCTCCATCTCCTTTGTTATCTCTGCCTCTTCTTTCCACTCTCACTGTCCTTTACTTATTTCTTTTTTTTTTTAAAAAATTAATGTTTAGTTTTTTTGAGAGAGAGCATGAGTGGGGGAAGGGCAGAGAGAGAGGGAGAAACAGAATCCAAAGCAGGCTCCAGGCTCTGAGCTGGCAGCACAGAGCCCAATGTGGGGCTCGAACTCACGGACCACAAGATCATGACCTTAGCCAAAGTCGGACACTCAACTGACTGAGCCACCCAGGCACCCCTACTTATTTCTTTCAATACTTCAGAAAAACTAAATATCCTTCGGTTTCAATAAATGCTTGAATCAATTTGCATTAGCCACAAAGCTGGTATTCCCTCCACCAATTTCCCCAATACCTGACCACTTGTATGTATCATCTGAAAGCACTACTTTAATCATGCCACTTCTTCCCTTAGAAATCTACAGTGAAACTTTAATCAGTTCCCTGTTTTCCCAAGCTGATACACCATGGAACCCCTTTTTAATGTGACAATTATTAATAGTCACAGAAGTAGGGCTCTACTCCAAATTAAATGCCCAAACTACTTTATTAACAATAGTAACAGATTCCACTTACTGAGTTCTTACTATGGTATGGCACTGAGTTCATTAACATGAATTCATATAATACTCCTAACAACGAGGGAAGTATTACTAATTTAAAGCCCACTTTAAAGTTGAGGAAACACATTCAGAGAGGTTACATACTTGCCCAAACTTTCCTAACAGCTTAAATCCTGTGTTCTTAACCTCTAAGTTTAATAGTTGAATTTCAAATTATCGTGTAGCTTGTTACTGCTCTAGCCTCTTCCTGCTTTGCTACGGATTACTTAATACTTGCTGCTCTTATTGGCTTTAGCAGTTTCTCCCTACTCCTTTAAACAGATTTTCATTGACTGATAAAACCATAAAACCAGGTTTATTATTAATTGAATTCTGTGCAAAGTAGGATCTGTGCAAAGTAGGAATCAACAGGCTCCAGAAGCTGGACGAGTCCTGTGAGGAGGCCTGTGTCTACCCTTGGAGTCACCTACTTTGGCTGCCCAGACATATTTTTATCAGTCACCTCCATCTGGGTTGTAACAGCCTCCTAATCCATGTCCCACATTCATCCTCCACTTGGCTGCAGAATGATCTATTAAATCACAATTGTGACCACAGTTCTCCCTACAGCAAAATATTCCAGTGGTTCATTCTGATTTAAAGGATCAAGTCTTTAATGTGGCATATGAGCTCATCTCGTTCCTGCTTGCCTCTGTGCACATACACTCACCCACTCACCAGGCTCTTTCTTTCCTTTGTGCCTTTGTTCTTGTTATGTATCCCCCATGCCTGGAAGTCTCTTTCCCTCATTACTTGGCTCACTCTTAGTCATCCTTTAAGATACAGCTCATGAGGCACCGCCTCCAGGTAACAATCCCTGACAACTTTTGCAGCCCTCAAATACTTGCTGGGTATCTCTCTCCTTCAGGTCTCTGCATATCTCTATTACTTCATGTGTACATCGTTTTTTGAAGTTGTCATTTATATACCTATGAAATCCTTAAGGATGGAAACTCCAAAGTGGTACCTAATAGGTATACAATAAAGGTTAAATAATTGGCTTTTAAAAATCTATAAGGGATAAATTTTCCCTATTACCTAAGATAACAAATTGTTAATGTCCAAGTAGTGGCTGGCATATGGCAGGAACTTAATGATATTTGTGAATGGTAAAATGAGTGTATAAATGGATTTCAAGTCTTTCTATAATCTGATTCCTTATAAATATGCAGCCTTCACTCCAGTCAGACTGGTTTCTTCTCTTTTCTTACTTCATCTAAACCAGGTAAACCTTTAAGCCTTCACTAATTCTCACTTTCTCACTAGGAATACCTGGAGTTTTCTCCATAATTGTTAAATGCCATCCATCAAGAATACCCACTCCATGAAGGCTCCACTTGTGACAATGATTTTTTCTCCAGTCTGGGCCAACATGTCCTATAGGTCACTCCACAAAATAGTAGTTCTGCAAAATATTTATATATGTTACCTGAGAAAAAGTTTTGTGATTTAAAAATGTTGGAAACGCTGCAACAAATGCTGCTAAATTATTTCCAAATTGCAGGACTTTTCTGAACCTTTACTTTGCATGTGTGCATTTTGAGTACTTAAAGGGAAGAAACCATATGGAGAACTTTCCAAACTTACTTGCCCTCAAAACCCTTTTTATAACTATGTTCCATGGAACATGAGAAATAAATTGGGAAATGCTGGTCTGTATTTGATTGGATTTTTAGATCAACATGTAATTTGTGCATGCATACAGTCTCATGCATATACACATACACACACTCCCATTTCAGATGTATGTGTTTTGGCTGCCCTACTTGGTTGCTCACATTTTTCTTGTATCTTATATTTTGTTTCATTCATGTAATGGCTCAACTTCCACTAATAATCATAAAAATGTTTAATATTTGTTGACTGCTGAACCACCATATACCACTGTCATGTAAATGCTATTGGTATGTTTTCTAGGACCTTCTACCCCTCTTGCCTGGCACCATTGCTGGTGAAATAGAATCAAAGGCTGCAAACCTCAATAATTTGGTAGTAGAAGCCTATCAGGTACGTATATATTAAACACTATTTTTTTTTCATGTAAACTTTTAACCCCAATTTCTGTGGCAGGATACAAATTAAGGCCTTATCATCTTGAGAGGAATGGTGGACAGAAAATTAGGTTAAAAGTTAGGAATTTTAATTTAGCCCTGGCTCTACTACTAACTAGTTATGAAACCTTGGGAAAGTCAGTTCAGCTTTCTGTACCTCACTGTCTCATTGACAGTAAACGCAGGTCAGGCTAGAGCCTATCTAAATTTCCTTCCAAATCAAATGTTAAGTAAGTCACTAAATCACGGCTATAGAATATACTTTATTACCATAAATGTCACAATTTCCTATGTTGTAAAGGTCAAGAAATCCACACTATTTAAAGCAGCAACCTATCAGGTGGAACAATTTGGATATAGAGATGACTGAGAGGACTCTGTTGGGGTTTCCTAGGTCAATCACTTGATTGTTTAATCAGTTATTTTAGCAGTTTTATGAAACTAATTTGATTAAAAGAATCACCTTAAGAGGTATACTATTTTATTGAATTACAGTTGTATGCTCTTCCCAGTCTAACGAAGAGTGAGTACCAAATGTAAAGTTTTACAGAAACATCTGCTCTCAACACAGGTCATTACTGGATACAATAATCATTGTTAAGATGTTGTAATAATTTTGATTGTTACTTTAATACCACTGAGAATCAGATACTTTCCATACATGACCTCATTTAATCCAGACAACTGATCCATAAGCGAGATGTTGTACTCCCATTATGTATTTATAGAACCTCAAAGAAGGGAAGCAAGCTAACCAAAGGTGAAACAAGCAGGAGAAGCAGGATCAGAACCCAGGTCTTCCTTAATTCTAGTTGCCAGGTGCTTCCTTCTGTGTGATACCACCTGTTTTTCTTCCTTCCTTCCTTCCTCTCTTTTCTTTTCTTTTTTTTCTTCCTTCCTTCCTTCCTTCCTGTTTTCCTTCCTTCCTTCCTTCCTTCCTTCCTTCCTTCCTTCCTCCCTCTTTTCTTTTCTTTTCCTTTTTTCCTTCCTTCCTTCCTTTCTTTCTTTTCTTTTCTTTCTTTCTTTCTTTCTTTCTTTCTTTCTTTCTTTCTTTCTTTCTTTCTTTCTTTCTCTTTTTTCCAAACTATCCAAAGATAGGCTTATTCTATCTTGGATTTATGGGCCATTGATAAAGTCTCACTTCCCAAATTCTCTGGTTCTCTTCCTGACACATAGAGATGAATAATGTTAATAGTAGCTCAAGCATTATAAGAAATCTCAGGCTTCTCATTTTCTCCATGAAGCATCTGTCTTCAACTTGAGCACAAAAGGTAAAGTCAGGAAGCAGGCACATGATAGAAAATGACTTGTTTAAACTTTTTTCTTTTAAAAATGTTTTTAAATGTTCATTTTTGTGAGAGAGGAGAGACAGAGAGAGAGAGAGAAAGCACACGAGCAGGGAGGGGCAGAGAAAGGGAGACAGAGGATCCAAACTGGGCTCCTCACTGACAGCAGAGAGCCCGACGCAAGGCTCAAACCCACAAACCATGAGGTCATGACCTGAGCCCAAGTCAGATTCTTAACTGACTGAGCCACCCATGTGACCCTCAACTTTATTCTTTTAAAAGAAAAATAGGTGCGCCTGGGTGGCTCAGTCGGTTAAGCGGCTGACTTCGACCCAGGTCATCATCTCGCGCTCCATGAGTTCGAGCCCCGCGTCGGGCTCTGTGCTGGCAGCTCAGAGCCTGGAGCCTGTTTCAGATTCTGTGTCTCCTTCTCTCTGACCCTCCCCCGTTCATGCTTTGTCTCTCTCTGTCTCAAAAATAAATAAACGTTAAAAAATTTTTTTTAATTAAAAAAAGAAGAAAAATCTTGTAAGATTTTTTTTTTTTTTTTTTTTTTTTTTTGCCAAGGAATTGTTCTATGCCTCAAAACCATATTTGACAATAAATTTCATATATAAATAAAAAAAAAAAAAATAAAAAAAAAAAATACATTGGATGAAATAAGGAAGACCATCTTTAATTATTTTTATTTCTCACTATTACAAAAGAACATTAAGTCTGGGGAAACTTCTCATCAAGGAAAATCAAACATATACAATTCATTCCCAACTGCAGTTTGTTCCCAGGAATAATCAAAATAGGGAAGGGATTTACAGTGTTAGAAATCACCCCAGTTTTTATAGTATGAACACATTTACTAGTCCAAACAAGAAATATAAATTGACAAACTTGCCTGTGTGTCAGACAATGCCAATAGAAAGGGAAACAGCAGCATTTGGTTTTATATTCTTTATTTACCAAGGTTAGGTATCCAATGCCTTAGCAAACTGCAGTTCTGACTGACCTTAAACAATGGGAAAATACTAGCAAATCCAACGAGACTCACTCTGGCTAACTAATCTCCTTTATGTTAGGATTCTATTATTATTTTATACATTTTTATAATTTTCAAAATTCTTCTTAAGTTTTATTTTGTCTTCACAGTCCAACAGAAATAATTCACAATGCATTGAAGAATAAAGATACTTCACTCTAACTTTTAAGTTTTTGCATTTCCTTTGTAAGAATTTTATAAAATTTACATACAAATTTAGTGTATGGTGAATGTGACCTCATTTTAATTTTATCCTTTACAATAGCACTGCCATTAGAATTAAGATTAAATAAAAATCCTGACGATAATAACTTAAACTGAAATTAAGATATTAAAAATAAGTTATATTTAATACAAACAGAATTAAATATTGAAAAATAAATTCTGCCTCTGTATCTATTAGATATTAAAAAGAATCTTGATATTGTGTTTGGAACCTAATTTCTAAATCTCAAAACTGGGCAAAATTTTAGATATTTGTCTTCACACCTTGCTTAAGTGAAAAACATTAGTGTAACAAGCTTAACTTTTTAACAGAAAGAATTTCAGAAGAGCAAACTGAGAACACTCATTATATTAGGAATGTCCTTCCGATCTGTCAAACCATCACCATATCAACACCATTTGTATACCATTAGAAGTCACAGTTAGTTTGCTAAGAGTGTCCAAGTAAGTGATTACAATGGATGAGCTCTCTGGGAGATTTAAAAATTTGGCTGACACAGTCTTCTCTAATCCAAATAAAATTTACTAATTTGAAAAAGTATCTTGTTCTAGATTTACCACTGTGGCCAATTATTAGTAAGCATACATCTCTTTATTGATTATACAGTTGAAAATTAAAATTTACTCAAGTAAAAAATTAGAAGCCTTTGGAAAAATTGTCTGCCTTCATATCTTGCTATTCATCTTTCCTTAGGTATATATTTCATCTTTTCTCCTTCCTTTTGTTTACAAGTATAAGTTAAGGACTTTTGCATGTGGTAGACTGTTTTATGAGATCAAATACACACAGATCTTCAGTACTTATTTAATGCAGCTAGAAATGTTTGTAACCAAAGATTTGTGACGGAAGAAATTAGTGTGTGCTTGATACATGATAAGCATTACATAAACATTTTTGAATAATTATATAAATGAGTGAATAAATGAGTGAATGGTTTTCCTGTCTAGTAAATGTTCCCACTGTCCCACTTCAGTATCAAGGATTAGAACAAATTTGATTAACACAAGTAAGCCCCAGGGACTTGGCAAAATTCCTAGGGCATGCTTGGAGAATTTACAGGACATATCTGGCAGGTAATTCTTAGGCCTACAGTACAGAAATGCTGTCCCCAAGATTTACCTTTGAATTCTGTATCAGTAAGGTGTTTTAGGTTTCATGATAGCCTAAAGTGTTTGAAACTGAAATCTTTATTTATATATAACATAAATGTCCGGAGTGTGTTTCAGATTTTAAGCTGTTAAGATTTACCCTCTGTGATATGTGTTCTCAATGTTTTATTCAAATTTTGTCACAAAATATAAACATTATTGGATTTAAAATGATTATTTCTGTAACACAGGCTGAAGGAGAAATATCTCCAAAGTGATCGAAATGCATAGTCATGGAAATATGTGAAAAAAAATAGAACAATTTAAATGCATATGGTCTAATCCTTCAGTATTTCTTATGTATCTCAAATATAATTGGGTCATTATGTGGAAACAATATATTTATTCATCCTTTCATAGGGACAGACTCTTTGATTTAGTTAAAAATTAAATCTAGAATCATTTAATAAGCTTGACTCTCTTTAGTTGTTTACATTTGAAATTTCTATGATATACAATTAAAAAATGATGTCTCTGCAGAAACTCATTTCAGAAGTGAAAGTTCAGGTGGAAAACCAGGTAAAAGGCGTCTATTTTAATATTACTGCCATCTGTCCAGATGGGACCCGAAAAGCAGGCACAGACGGATGTGGAAATGTGACAAGCAATGACGAAGTATGTGGGTGTGCATTTTTCCCATTTTAAAATAAACTAAGTTGTTTGGCAAGTTTTCTCACAGAAAAATCAAACCATTCTGGAAAACTTTATTTACTACTGACTCCAAGGATCATATTTATATAGTTCAAAGTCATTTTTATTGTCTCTTTATTATAAAGTTCCTACTTGTTTTAACTCCATTTATTTGTCTTAAACTCAAATTAAGTAAATATATATTATATTAAATACTTATTTAATGATAATAACTTTAAACTTCTGTGTCACAGCCAGTATATATCAGTAAAGCACATCTTTTCAAACAAGTAGTGTTTACACTTACGATGATGATACCTACCTTTTTGGTTGCAAATCTCAGAATAAATTTGAAATTGAAGGTAATAAGCCACAAAAAGAATGAGAGTGATGGAGCAACTGATAAAGGCTACGAATTCCAAAATCTTTCACTGTGCTATTGTCCCAGTACTCACAATGATCTAGGACGAAGTGGGGACATTTATTAAGAACAATAAAAAAGAAGTGTCATTTAATTAAAAAGGGATAACCTGGAAAACAGAGGGTCCAGATTATTGCAGTGTTAAGAAATAGGACCAGGGGTGATAGGAATTCTCCCAGTATCAGCACAATAGAGGGTAAACACACAGAAATATGCTCTTCAAGGGAATTCTTGTTAGATGAAGTGATTTTCAGTGAGCCACCTTGAGGCATCAGTTGCCTAATTTTTAAATGAACAGATTACAAAATTTAGAATCCCTTTTCCTTTCATCTCTAAAGTTCTATGATGTTGTTATTTTAGTGTCATGCTGTAGTTCAGAAGTATGGTAGTATGGTTGCTCCAACAAGCTGGCTATTTGAAATCAATTATGGCTAGTTTCTAATTCTGTAGGTCCCTGCATAATCACTTTTTGGATTTTGTTAAAAAGATATTATATAAAAAATATATATTTGGTTTATAAAATATACAATTATAACATATAATTTTCATATAATATATAAATATATATTTGATTTCCATTAAAAATAGAAAAACTTTGTGCTAGCAAAAGTTTCTGAGAAAGGGTTAGCCTTTTAGTAGTTCTTTCTTTCAAAATCAGTTTTGGCAGAAAGGTTTTCCTTCTTACTTTTTTTTCTTTTACTTTGTCTATAATCCCTTTTTCACCCTCACTTTCAACTAAGTAGTATAAACAGTTTGACTCTCAGAAAGAGTCATATGACCTCTTAATTACATAAACCCCAAATTTTGCTTTATTAATATTGGCAATGGCCACATTATCCTACACATCTGTTAATCCTTAACATTCTTTAAGACAAAAAACATTTCAAGTAAAATACCAACTGCATTAATTTTAATATTATGAAACTGATGTTAATTTCTGATGCATATATGTAATATAAAAGCCTAAACTTAGATCTTTCATACCTTGTGTGTGTGTGTGTGTGTGTGTGTGTGTGTGTGTGTGTGTATTTTTGCTAGGCTTTTTGGTCAGAGTGAATTTATATATATGGATATATCCCCACCCACATATATTCATCCCAACAAAAAAGGCTACCACAAATTTTTTAAGTTGTAATGGATCTTAATCTAAGATGGAAAAAAAAAAATACAAGCTTATTTGCCAAAGTACCTGAAAATTATAAGGTAGGCTAACAAATCCAAAAAAGGCACATTAAACCAATCATGTTGTGCAAAAAGAAAAAAATAGAGAGAAAGGAAAAACTTGGCAGGATCTGTTGTTTCACAAGGGAAACAAACTCCTGCCAACCCAGATCTTTAGTTGTACGCTCATGTCTCCACTGAGACAAATGTAGGACCCTGTATTGAGATCTTAAGATCTGAGAGAGTCCTAAATCTTATTCCCTTAAGTAGCATCAGAGAAAGCCTCATGTTTTCCTTCATTAACACCATGTATAAACTAAAATTTAACCCTGAATCTTTACTTGGGGTTTATATATATTATATATTATTATAAGTAAAAATAATTTATTATAAATAAATTTATATATACATTATATATTGTTTATATATTAATATTTATAAGTTACATGTTTATATATTTATATATTATAAATAAAAATTGTTCATCTGAACATCCTATCTCAAGGTTTAAACCAGTAGAGCAGTAGTCCTTTAGTTTATTTGATCTCTCCCTTGTGCCAAATATTCGTTAACCCCACATTTTAAGGACTTAATTCAGAAAATGGTCTATTCTCTCTCAAGTTTGCTAAGAAATCAATTGAGAACATCAGTTAGTCATTGGAAGTGGAGTAGACGTTTCAAATAGACTTAAACCCATGTCCATTTAATGGTACAATAGAGACAAGTAGCAGTCATTGCTTCTTTTGACTCTCTGGTTCATTAATTAGGAAATAAATGAAATGGAAAAGGGATGTTACATCTATATATGAAAGAGTGCCTGTGTAATTTACAAGTGTTATAAATTTCTATAAGATGGTATATTATTGATTCAAAAAATCATTCACATAAAGAGTGGTGATAAAAATAATCAAGACATATAAATATATTTTCTTTCTCTCCCTCCATTTAGGTTCTTTTCAATGTCACAGTTACAATGAAAAAATGTGATGTCACAGGAGGAAAAAGCTATGCAATCATCAAACCTATTGGTTTCAATGAAACCACTAAAATTCATATACACAGAAACTGCAGCTGTCAGTGTGAGGACAGCAGAGGACCTAAACGAAAGTGTATAGATGAAATTTTTCTAGATGCCAAATGTTTCCAGTGTAATGAGAATAAATGTCATTTTGATGAAGATCAGTTTCCTTCTGAGAGTTGCAAGTCACATAAAGATCAACCTGTTTGCAGTGGCCGAGGAGTTTGTGTTTGTGGGAAATGTTTATGTCACAAAATTAAGCTTGGGAAAGTGTATGGAAAATATTGTGAAAAGGATGACTTTTCTTGTCCATATCACCATGGAAATCTGTGTGCTGGTAAGTATAAGTAAATATATACATGTAGTTTTTACTAGTTACTATTAAACTAGCATATATATCAAAGTCTCTTTAAGTCACATCTTTATAATTACCAACCCTGAATCTGAATTTAATATTCAAAATTTCAAAGTCTATGAAATTAGGCCATGGCGATGCATTTATGGCACATGATTCTGCTATTTATATTTTAAATTATTTTTGTACAGAAAATAATTGAAAATAAAAACCAAAAATTAAGTGTTATTCTCAACCATGCCTTGATTTTATACAGATAAATATCAGAAAAGGAAATTTCTGATGTCTGGCAGGTTGTCTATAATCAGAGCATTCTTCTGGAAAAGACTTGATTCATTCTCATAAGTAGTCACTCCCTCTAGCTTTCTCAAAGGATAGTGAGCTTTAAAAACACAGTTTCCATTCATTGGAAAATTCTTAATGCATTATTATAGATGGTATTATAAATTTGTAATAATTTAAACCTATCCAGTTTATTTTTGGAACAATGCAAGCAACAGAATTATCAGAGAACAGCATTCTTCAAGAGAATACGGGTTTTGTAAGTAATCTAGAAGATTAGTACCAGAGGCCACACACAGACCACGTTTAAAAATGAAATGATTTAAAATAAAAATATCAAAAGTACTTTTTGGCTAATTCAGTTTACTGCCACCTAGAGGTTAGATTCTAGAAAATCTATGCAACATTTGAAATTTAATACAAAATACTGTTTTTAAATGAATTTTTCTATGACAGTGTGCTAAATCCACTTACTATTACAACACCATTTTAAAAATTTTTGCATTTTGGTAAGCAAATATTAATTAAATTATTAATGAACTAAAATATTTCATTATCATAACCATATGGAAAGTAACAAGCCTATACAAAATGAATTTTCTATTCTTGTGTCAGCTATAAATTTGCCATATATCACACAAATATGCAATGAAAAATTGACTTTTTATTCTGTTATATACACAAAATATTTTATATGCCAAACATGTATCCTGCTATATCTTGTATCATTGGTAGAATGGATTATAGATAAGTTAAGAACAAGCCAGCAATTATCTTCTAATATTTAGAACTAATCCTATTTGGAACAGGGAAGAGGAAGAATTCCGATATCCCACAGATATTGGGATAGCAGCTTGAAATACATTGGGAATCTCAGTCTCTATTTATAGTAAACTATTAAAAATCAATATACTAGCTCTTCTGTATGACTATTTTACCAGCCCACAGGCAGTTGAAAATCTGCTTTGAATTATTTGTGTATAAGTTATAAGTGCAAAATGTAGCTGACAAACATTTTCTTCACTAGTTTCCTTTGAGAATAAAAACATATGTTCACAGGTCAGCTGGCTAGGATTGGGCGTGCAGCCTACATATAGGGAACAGGGTCTGGCAGGCATTTGTTTGGCCTGGACCTCATTAGTTTTACATTTAGCAATTGAGTTGATCCAACAATACACTCTATGGAGCAGTTACCCTGTGAGGTGCTTGCAATAAGGGGAGAGTGGGAAGGAGGGAGGAAGGAAGCCAGGAAGCAAAGGAAGGAAGGAAAGAAGACTCTGTAGCCAAATAAGCTTGAGAAACACTACGTAACCCTGTAATATATACTTCTTCTTGAGGATTTCTAATCCACATGGGCATATTAAATTTTGGATGCTTCCTGAAGTCTAAAACCCATTTAACTACATATAACCAATGGTTCTCCTCAACTTACTTGTCTACATGCATGCCCCCAACCCCAACACACAGGTGTGCATGTGCATACACGCACATGCACACACACACACACACACACACACACACACACACATGCACACACACACATACATACATACATACACCCACACTCCACCTTGCTTTCTCTCATTTACCACCTAATAACAACTCACAGCATACTTTAGGACATGCCTCTCTAACCTGCTAAATAATGTCTTCAAGATGTGAAGAGATCAGTTCAACTCCGCCAGAGATCTTATCTTTAAACATGGCACTAACAGAACTGAAGCACTAGAAGGGTTTGCCTTAACAGACCTTCAAAAGTATCCCAGGCCCTTAGCAATAATGAGAAACTAAGAGAATGATTATGGAGGCTATTAATCAAATACCCCTGGTTTTTGGATTTCAAGACTGATAATTAACATTACTTCAGCCTTTGTAGCTTTTTTTATATTTGCGTGTTTTTAATTTAAAACTGAATGCACAGTGACCTTCAGGTAGTCAGGCAGCCACTGCAGTGGAGCACATGTCACAACTGTCAGCACAAGAGATTAGCATCATAGGGTTTATCTACAACAGAACAGCTTCGAAAATAGACGCTCCTAAAACCTCTCGTTGCTTATGTCAGACGAATAGAAAACGATGCTGTTTCCATTCAGTTGACTGTCAGTGTGTTTCCATGGATATGGGAGGGGAATTTATGTTTGGAAACACTGCACAAAGTCAGTGGCTCCAATAACTTAGGTCCTGGAGTGTCTGTTGCAGGGCATGGAGAGTGTGAAGCAGGCAGATGCCAGTGCTTCAGTGGCTGGGAAGGAGATCGGTGCCAGTGCCCATCAGCATCAGCCCAGCACTGTGTCAATCCAAAGGGCCAAGTGTGTAGTGGAAGAGGCACATGTGTATGTGGCAAGTGTCAGTGCACTGATCCCAGGAGCATCGGCCGCTTCTGTGAACACTGCCCCACGTGTCACACAGCCTGCAGTGAAAACTGGTATGTGTTCTCCAACTCCAAACATACATGAAGCAGTTCTTCACCATAGCTATGTTCATCCTTTTATTTTGCCTTCCTTAATCTTAGAAGTTGCTGGATCTTCTCTACCAGATAAATTTGTTATCATCATGCTAAAAAAGGAACTGAATAGGGACTTTAGGAACAAGAAAACTTAGATCCTAACTTTTGGCCACTAGATAGCTGTGAAAGCATTGGAATTGATCTAGGCATTCACTGCTTTACTCTTTTTTTTTTTTTTTAACGTTTATTTATTTATTTTAGCAGAGAGAGAGAGAGAGAGAGCACATAAGCAGGGGGAGGGGCAGAGAATCCCAAGCAGGCTCCACGCTATCCCCAACATGGGGATATCCCCAAGGGGATATCCCCAACATGGGGCTCCACATCCCAACATGGGGCTTGATCTCATGAAATGTGAGATCATGACCTGAGCCAAAACCAAGAGTCTGAGGCTTAACCGACTGAGCCACCTAGGTGCCCCTGCTTTAGCTTTGTTGAAACAGGTTTGTTGTTTTGAAGAATAAGGTTTGGTGTTCATAAGGGCTCACTGTTTTTTACCCAGCTTTCATGAGATATAACTGACATATAGCCTTGCTTACACAAGGCTTAAGGTATACAACATGATGATAATTGATGGCAGTTTACCATCAATTAGCTGTTTGAGCTAGGGTATGTTGTCGAAATTCTCTGTGCCTGTTTCTTGATATTGAAAGTGATGATTATAATAATAATACTTTGCTATATAGTTCTGTGACAGAATTAAGTTAGATGATTCATGTGAAAAAAAACCCATTTTTACTTGGTGCATAATAATCCTAGAATAAATATTAGCTATTATTATTGGGTTTTTTAATTTTTTATTTTTGAGTTTTTTAAATTATTTTAAAAATAAAGAAAGATACTGGCTATGAAGCACCCCTGGAAAAAAGTGATGTATAAGTAATAGGTGATATGTTAAGTGAAGATGGCATTATTGTTTGGTGACAGTAACTAATTTTCCAGTAACAATTTGAGCCTGTTAAAGACCACTACTCTAAACATCACTGTGCCTTCTAATTTGTTTTATTCAAAAATTATAAGACATTCACTTTCTCAGATTGGTAGCTCAAGTAAAATTTTTAAAATTATACATGGGAATTTATGTAACTCTTGGAAATGCAGTACTTAAACATAATGATGGAGTTATTTCTAATGAGCCCAAGTGAAACTTGAATTGTGTATTCACTGATAAATTTTTCTAGTAGTATAACATTTATCTTCTAAAATATTTTTGCTAATTTTATTTGTAATAAAAGTTTCTTATGTATTTCTTGGGTATTTTCTTCTCAATACAAAAAAAAATCATTATTTTGACTGTACACATTATTAAAATAGTTTTAGTGATTAGAATATAATTTTGCATGGTATTAAATTCAGCCAGTATTACAAATAAATATTTTGGCTTTCTTTCCCAGTTTTACAAGACTACTATCCTAAAACAGTACTCTATTTTGATATTTTATGTCTTGCAAAAATACTATGGGCTTACAACTGCCGGAGTCCAGCTCCAGCAGGTCCAGGGGTTCCAGAAGGATGAACAGCATCGGAGAAAAAGTGAAAATAAAACAAAACTAAAACAAAAATAAAAATAAAAAACTGAAATAAAAAGCTAAAATAAAAAACTAAAATAAAAATGGACACAGACAACAGCAGTGTGTTGAACTGGCCGATTTATTGCAGTAAACGTGGCATTATATATACTAGTGATTTCCTTGTAGCATACGTCAACTATGTTTTTTCTAACATTACCTAATTTTGAAAATGTTCCTATGTATAAACGACCTTTAAGAAATAACATGGTGATTTTACCCTAACTTTCCCACATACACTTTGATTATAGATTAATTTCTTACATTATTCCATTATGCACCTGTGTTTATCTATAATCTACAAAGCATTTGCTTTGCTGTTCTCGTGAAAGGCCCTCCATTTCTCAACACCTCAAGTGGAAGAGTTACAGGGACATGACCTCCTAACCACATGAGGCCAGAATAATGTGTTTGCCTCGGTCCGAGGTGCCAGAAAGGGGCTGAAAAAGCCTTAGAAACCCATGCCTCATATATTCTCAGAGAGACAATGCACCTAGGAACCAATGAACCATTCTGTAGTTTAACAGACTAGGTTCAGTCATCATCTGGAATGCCTCCGGGGGGCCAGGTGGGCCTAGGGGTTGAAGTCACCTGTGCCCAGAGATACACTCGTTAGTTGCCGGAGTGAGGCTTTCAAATCAGTATGTCTCTCCTTTACAGGCCCTCTTTGCTGGCAAAGATATGAGGCTATCCTTCCTGTAAGTAGAGGAGTCTCCATAGGGGGTGGCAAGAGCTAAACCTAAAGCTGCACAATTTCTTGGGGAGCCTTATTTTCTTCCCTAATGGTTCTTTTCCCAGGGGGCCTGCCGAGGGCAATTCCCCAACAGACAATACCCCAGGTAGTTTTAAGGCCTAATTACCTAAAAACGGGAGTCCAAGAAGCTTTACTGTCGGTGGGCCGCCCTGCAGTCACCAATCCGTCCACAGCCGGGGACCTGCCCCTCAGGCTGGGATAGCTCGGCTTCCAGCATACAACCTATTCAAAGATTAAATGTTTTGTTTCTGTTTGTCTTTATAGGAATTGTGTGCAATGTCTTCACCCTCATAATCTATCTCAAGCTATACTTGATCATTGTAAAACTTCATGTGCTCTCACAGAACAGCATTATATGGACCAAACATCAGGTAAACCAAAGCTTACTAATGAAAGCACTGGAGAGTATCTGTAGAGAATCATATTCCCCCAAAGAGCCCATAATCAATCATCCTAAAGAAAGGAAAAACTGCTTCAGTGTTTTCAGTCTTCCAGAGATGGTACTATATAAAAAGCAGCTGAGTATATTTGCCATAGTTCAGCTGAATGAGTAGATCTCCTGTCTCAATTATCCAGCTAAATGCCCATGCTGGGCCCCGCTATGGAAGCACACCAAGCAGAGTGTCTACAGAGGCCTCAGTGAGCCAAGAATGGAAATTTCCTATGTACAGTCCATTTCACCCTTAGACATAAACTCTATGGAGACATTCTTCTCTTTCATAACCCAGCTTACTTCCAGTTACAACCTTCCTCATGTAAAACCAAAACTCTCCTTTATGTTTCAGGTGAACCAAAAATTCTAAGTAGCAATTACATGCTTTTGCAAAATATATGTCCTAAAAAGGGCCATCCCTTTCTGGTGTTTTTCATTCTGATATAAATATAATTTATGGGTGAGTGATTATAAAGGCAGCCTAATGGAAAGGGCATGAAAACTTTTAAGCTTAAAGCATGTTCCTTGACACCAATAAGAAATACCAGCCCTCTTACAAAATTTCCGAGCCTCAATTTCCTCATCTGTAATGGAGATGATAATACCAACCTCAAAGATTGTATGACAGCAAATGAGCCAGTGAACATGACAGATATATTTAAATTAAAAGATGACACACAAATGGGAGAAACATGTGAAAGCTGTGTTCAAAGACCACTTTAAGACAAAACTTCATTAGAACTCAAAAGCCAGTATCCGACTTTGCTCAGGTGTTAAGGTGTTGAAGTACACATGAATTAGAACTTAAGCTTTAAATTATATCTTCTTTGAAAGAATTTCTACTGCTACTATTATTTCTAGTCTCTCCTCCAACTTATGAAAATAATTCCAGCTCTTACAGAGCCTGCACAGAAGAATAAAGTTTCTCCAGTTTTGTTTCCTTCTTCTCTTGCATCCACACTGATCTTAGTCCATAATAAATTTGGCTTTGAAAACAGCCCATGTGCTGCCAGCTGGGGCTGCAGCAATCACTCCAGAAAGCCAAGTGCCTTTTCTAATAAATAGAGCCCTTCCTGTCAACATGTCATTTATTATGTTAAGTAAACAAACCTACTCTGACCTAAGTGTGGTTACAAAAAGTATTCCCTTAAAGGTCCTTAGGAAAAGCCCTTGCTTGACCTAAACCAAGATGAGAGTCATGGCCAAGGCTAAATGTTTGGCTATCCAAAATGATATTCTAACATTTTAAAATGCATGCAGACTTGAGCCTTGAAAATGTCCTCTATCCTAACCCATTAGAAATATTTGTAAAATGTAACAGTAGCTAGGGGGCTCCCCTCCCTTTCACAACTATGGTGGAAGGAGAGGAAAAGGACATTTGTTAGCCACCCCTATTATCTATCCACTCAATCACACTTAAAGGGTGTTTTGGTCTTCTGGCTAAGCTCCTCCTAGGCAAGAAGCCAAAAAGTGGGATCAAGCCACGTGTCCCCTTTAAGGATCTGCTTTAGCCTGATGGACTAGTTCTAAGACAGCCAGAGGAAATGACAGTCTGTCAGGATGAAAGGCATGCATGTCATAGACCTGAAGGTCACTCTGGAAGACTCCAAGGGCACCACTTTTGAATAGAGCATCTTGGATTGTCTCTGTGTGTGAGAACAGTAACAAAGGGAGACTTGTACTCTCATTTGGTGTTTCTATTCCAATTTGTAGCCCTCTGGACTCCCTTTACCCCTTCTTTCAAGGACCCTTGTCATTGACCAAAAGAAAACTGGGTCCGAAGTGTTCTCACTTGGTGAGGAGCCCTTACATTGTTCCTGAGCTCTTGGTTTATTCAAAAGCATGCTTGGTCATCCCTTGGGAATTCAGACAGAAATTACCCATGTTTGGGTAAGGTCTAAGACTTGGAAGGTCCCCTCTCAAAAGGCCCTCTCAGGGAGGCCTTCATACATTTAGGTGAAGTCCCCAAAGTCTGGAGAATGGGTAGAAAATACTTGCCTCTTTAAGCCAGGAGGTAATTTTGTGAATCTGGGGCAGCTGGTGAGTTCTGTGGAATACTGACATATTGTGCAATGTTCCCCTTAAAATAGGGTAATACTTCTGGCATCCACAGAGCCTGCAGACTTTCCAACTAGAGTTTGCCAAAGGTCTGGTACTAAAACAGAGACCTAGTATGTTCCTCCTCTTAATGCAGCATTTCCTTCGCCAGCTAGTAATTATTTGTTCTTGAAAAAAATACAGTGAATTTTTAGAAGCAAAATATGACAGATTTGGTTAATGGACAAGTAAAAACCAAATTAATAAAAATTGAGGAAAGAGATTTGCATATTGTCCCGAGTTGGACACTCCTACTCCCTGGAGAAGCTACTTGTAATAATAATGGAAATTTACACTACAGTTTCAAAGGAAATAGCTATTCATCTATTAGAGTAGTACTGCTTTTAGCTTCTGCATTGTTTACTTTACTTTCCATTACTGATATGCAACAAATGAAGAGCAAGCATAACCACAGAAACATATGCTAATGCACAGAGCTGTTAAATAATTTTTAAATCCTGTTTCCCACTTAGTGACCAACAGTACACACCACAAAAACTGTCTCTTCTCTGCCACAGGTAAAATTTTATTTGTTTAAGGGATTTGGACACATTCCAGCTAATACAATTAAAGAATGTCTCCTGGAAACATTTTAATAATAAATGTGTAATAAAAAAATTATGGAGTTTATTTTTGAATCAATAGTAATGGCATTCTCCTGTTTTAAAAATGCAGGTTTGAAAATATCTCTGGTCCTATTAATTGAGACGGAGAACATTGTTTGCTTGTTAGAATCCTTTGATTTACTCATTCTAGTTTTAATCCATTTATTTGTTTGCTTCATTACAGAATGTTTCTCTAGCCCAAGCTATTTAAGAATATTTTTCATCATCTTCATAGTTACATTCTTGATTGGGTTGCTTAAAGTCCTTATCATTAGACAGGTGATACTACAATGGAACAGTAATAAAATTAAGTCCTCGGCAGATTACAGGGTGTCAGCCTCAAAAAAGGTCAGTGGATTCTAAAAAAGAATTACTATCAGTATGTCATTGTCCACTTCCAATATTTAGGCTGTTAATTAACCATAGTATTTTTTCTCCATCAAGGACAAGTTGATTCTGCAAAGCGTTTGCACAAGAACAGTAACCTACCGACGTGAGAAACCTGAAGAAATAAAAATGGATATCAGCAAATTAAATGCTCATGAAACTTTCAGGTGCAACTTCTAAAGAGATAAAAAGTACTTTATGGGAAACTGGATTTTTAATAATTGCTCCTAGAAAATATACTGTTAGAAGTCACAGGAGGAGACAAACTGTTCTAGATCATGCTGGTTGCTGGTTGTCCACTTGAATGAAGACTGACAAGCATCCTCATCATCATGTGACTCACATCGCTGCTGAATTTTTCAGAGAAAAATGTGTCTTACTACTGTTTGAGACTAGTGTCATTGTAGCACTTTACTGTAATATATAACTTATTTAGATCAGCATAGAATGTAGATCATCTGAAGAGCACTGATTACACTTTACAGGTACCTGCCATTCCTGTGCTTCCCAGAGAGAGACAATGCTGTGAGATAGTTTGGGCACTGTGTCACTACAAGGGTACAGTAATCCCTCCACCGAACATGTGGATGAAAAAAATAACAGGCAGTTATAGTACTGTTGCCAAACACTTCTACAACTGGCAGTGACTAGACAAGAACATCTAGATGAATAAATGGTTAGTGTTTCACTCATTCAAGAGGTTAATAGATAAAACCTTAATCTTGAGGGAAACTTCTTTCGAAACTGTGTAGTGTTATGCATCTGTTTATGTTTTCTGCTTTTTACAAGATACTAATCCCAACATTCTCTCCTCTTTGCCTTCATGTTTTTTCTTTCTTACAGGATAAGTTTATATTATGTCACAGATGACTGGATTAAATAAGTGCTAAGTTACTACTGCCATAAAAACCTAATAATACAATGTCACTTTATTAGAATACTGATGTTTTAAAAGCTGAATGTTTAATAAGGGACACTGTAAAGTCACATCAAAATCAGAACAGCTTCATTGTGTGCAGACGTGGAGTCTTATATCTTCTTACCTGATAAACTGGATGTTCCACCATTTCATTTGTCTAATCATCAGGTTGAAGTTCACAAGGTATTTAGAAACTCTGCCTCAAGCAAAGTACCACATTTTTTAGTGCGCTCTCTCAGATATTAAATCCAAGTAGATATGAGCATTTTTCAAATTAAAAGCTATAGTAAGCTCTATTCTTTTTTGCATTTCAGTACAGCCTAAGAGATTCTGTCCCTGAATCACCTCAACCCTACTCACCAGAATTTTAAAGGTATACAGTGGGAGGAGGATAGACAATAGCTTAGAAGTAAGCTAATTCATCCTCTTAGTTAGTCAGGGAACTGAGGCTCACAAAGTTTAAATGATTTCTTAAAAAACACCCAAGTGATTAAGTGGCAGCATTTGAAGAGAAATTCTATCTTCAGATTGCCAGGCTAGTGTTCGTTGCACAATATCATGCTACCTCTTGAATCTTTAAAATATTTGATTGGCAAGTATTTTTAAATGTGATTTACTGAAGTCTTAAGTATATGAGCATGAGAAAATTTCAAAGGAAAGCAGAAGAGAGTAATTCAAACTGAATTCCACGACTGGCTTGTAATCTTTCTTGCTAATCAGCTTCTAAGAGAATTCAGCATGGCCTAAGTACAGGGAAGTCCATTCAAACGACAGCCTGTGAGTTGTGTAGTGCTCAGCCTGAGAGCTTGATATAGAGGCCATCAGCTTTTGTCTTCCCCAGTGGAAACTTCTTCACAATTACCATATCCCTACAGACTTATTTGGTCTGATTTTATTGGCTAGAAGTCCAATAGTCCTGTGTGTAGTACAGAGCTTTGCCTATGAGAACAAAGGAATTTATTTAAAATGCTTTCTTATAATTAACTTCCCAAATTTGCTGTCTTCAAGCACTGGAAGAAATGCCAGGATATTTGCATTTTAATGAGACTAACTCCCACCCCTTATTTTACCACAAAGAGGATTTAAAAACATGTAAGTGTTCTGGAGCAAACACAGCAGTCCCATTAAATGTCCCCTCCAGCCACGCAATTATGATGCTAAATTGAACTGTATTTTCTTCCCCAAATGAAATTGGGGACATTGACATAATTCAGTACTGTGACTCACTTGTGTAAGATACCTTTGATCACCAAGGATAACATAAAAATCGTATTTTGCAGCCTGCCCGTCACACATAGCATCCATTTTAAAAAGAAAAAATATGGATACACAATAGCTCACCAAAAGGAAAAAGTGGAAATTATCCATTTATTAAAATGCCAACAATTTTAAAAATTAACATTATAAGGTTCACAGACTAATCTCCATGTAGAATGAGTTATCCAAAGGAGCATAATAAAATGAAACCCTTAAAAACTGAGGGCTTCTGTTTTTATGCTGTCACTAGTTTGCACTAATATAATGGACCAACGCTGTTATAGGAAAAGACAGACTTTCTCATAGGCAGTTCAAGGCTTGATGATGATTGTAGTTATGCTTGTGATGTCTTGTGCTTTCTTTTTTTACTTAAAGACCTAATTCTTAAAGATTTTAGAGCTTATATTTTACTTGAATAATGGATATTTTCCTATAAAATGGCTTTGAGAAGAGAATTAATATTTGACTAGTTAGAATTAATTAAAAGGTAAGGGAAAACAGGGTATGCTTAGATTAAATAATTTATGTAAATAGAGCCTATTTTCAACTAATATGACCATAGGAGCCTTTTGAGATTCAATATATTAAACAAGTAATGAAATTTTAAATAATTAACAAAGAACTTGAACACTTTTGGTACGACAGCATTTTTGTGCCCTAAAGTATGTAATGATTTAGACATGTGCCATATATACACTACAATATAACTGTATGCATTTTGTTTCTCTGGGGACATCTTTACACCACAGTGTCCATGGATTTCTAAACATTTGAAACCTTTTTTTGAAACTTGTTAATATGTACGAAGTCATAGACATTCTCTGAAAGACTCAAAAATTCACGAAAAATCTGATTATGTACTGAATGTTCAATACAGCTTTGATTTATACGGATAAAAAGGAAATCTAAGGTTATCAGAATAGATTTATTTGGAGGCAAATTTTTCAAAACCCAAAATTAGTGGGTGAAAAAGATGCAAAACTTCACAAAAGAATAAATTCCAAATTAAAAAAAAAACATATACTTAATTCCACTAACGATATTCTTGTGTATGACAATAGGTATCCATAAGACACTGAAATATGATCATGATGAACTATGAAAATTTTTCTCCATAGAATTATATTCCTTCTGGTACCTGGTATAGTTAAGTTATACTCAATGACTTTTCCTTCCTTTCCTTACTCCTAGTTTTCCTACTCACTTTTCCTAAGAGCTTGCCTAAAACTCCAGGCTCAATAAGGCTAATCATGAAAAATAACTGAATGTAATGATATAATGAAGTTCTTCATTTCCAAAAATCTCTTAATGATTTCAAAATTCATTATGCACCTGAGCCAACACACACCCATTAAAATTAAGAATTTAAAATTTTCACACCCATTTGAGCTTCTTTTAGGTCTAAAGGATTTGAGATCTAGAACTTTTAATGTAAGTATCAAGTGAAATATAGCTAGTTGGGAGTTCAATCATGTGCACATTGTATTCTGTTTTATATACTCTTAACATTTAACTTATGATGATCCTTATTTATATTGATCTTATGAACTCCAATTCATGCAATGTAAACTGAGATATATTTTCAGAGAAATATAGAACTAGCATTCTTTCAGATAATTTCCTTTTTCTTTTATAATTACTCGATGGCAATTTTTTTATGGGTAACTGATTATACATATTCGTATTTCATTGATTCTAAGATTTCTACTTTTTCAATTCGCATCTCTAAAATTGTGATTATATCTTACAATCATTGGCATCTTAGATGCAGTGTTTAAAGTTGTTCTTATATAACATTACACTAATTCATCTTTAAATGTTCATGGGGATAGGGACATTCCTTTTCTTATAAATATTTCAGAACCAATTTATGGTAACATGTGAAGCCAATTTTCAGTACAACTGAATCACATACAACTCATCATGGAGCCTATCTGATTATGAGCTCAGATCCTGCAAACCTTTAGGTTGTAAAAGCTCTTTCATCTTCCTATTTATACTTTATGCTACTGGCTACGATTTCAGCATACCTACCTTAACTAATAAGAATGGGTGGGTTTCTCCCAATTTTGCTAACAAATTTTTAATCTCTCTATGCCTTTCTAAAGAATACTTTCATATGATCATCTCAGTTTTAAACAGAATTAACTGGAAAATATATGAAACCATTGTAATTAGATTTTGTAGTATCTTGTATGTCTGATGTCAATAACAAAAGAAAAATATGATACAACCAATCAGTACTGTAGGAAAAAAACAAACAATTGTCCCCTCAAGTCCTCCTACAATTTTATTCTTTCTCCTTTCTGCTCTTTGGTTTGATTTTTTCTTTGGCCCTGATAAATTTACCTTCAAGCCCATGTAATGACTGTCATTAAACTGCATATTTAAGTTATTTGAATTATGTAAAACAATTGTTCAGCTATCTGGGCAGCTGTTAATGAAACACCTGAGAGTAATAACACTACTCTTTTATCTACCTGCATACTTTCCTGCATAAAATCTATCTTCATAAGCTAACTCTATTATTCAGATTTCCAACCTCCATGGCCTACTTCAGTTAAAATTATTTAACCCAACAATAAAAAAAAAAAAAAAAAA